AACCTTGTATGCATTGTGAGTTTGGCAGCGGTCAGTGAAGTTCGCTTCACGGTATTTCGCTGTACGATGAGGATGAACACCGGCAGTCTATTTTTATCCTGTTCCCGTAATGACCAAGTCTCTGCACCGCAAAGTATAATTGGCTGAACCGCTGCAGCATATACTCAACCCTTCATAAACAGTCGGATGTCGCGACGGTGCCACAGATTCTCAAGTTGGCAAATGCCAACCGAGCCTTCTGTATGCGCGCCGACACTTCATCCGTGATGCGTCCACCGGATGAGATATAACTGCCCAGATAGCAAAATTTCTCTACTTTATCTACCGCTTCCCCCGTCAGGGTGAGGTTGGGGACTGGGCCAACCCAGTCTGGCAGTAGTATTTTACACTTTGCAGATGCAAAACATACCGAACAGGGCAACACTAACACTCATACTATCCAGAAAAGTGTGCAACTTATTTCGATCTTCACTTACTAGCACAATGTCGTCGGTACATTCTAGATGAGACATTCTGCCACCTGGGAGTAAACGGATCCCACTATCCTCGCAAGAGGACAGGACTGCTTCCATAATCAAATCTATAACAAAGTTAAATAGGAACGGAGAGAGAGAGAAAACCGTGTCGAACACCACTTTCCGTGATGAACTGGAGCGAAAAAGCGCTGTATGCTAGGATTCGGACTCGGGTATTATTGTAGAGGGTTTGAAATATTGAAATAGACATTCAGGCATACCCTTCAGGGTAAGGCAGTGCCAGGAAGAGGGGAAGCTGTCGATCAATGATCTGTCATATAACACACAATGGGGAACCAGGTGGTGGTGGGGGATTCGAACACATATCCTCTGGGGTGATATAATTTGGTGATGTTATCCCCCGTAATCGGATCGATAAAAAAAGTCTTCCAACAGTCCGTAAGCAAACAAACCGGAGAACATCGTTAAAAGGCGAACCGAAAAAAATTCCAATGAATTACCTTCAGAACTGGATCGGGACAATTCCTCCAGGGCGCCCAAGGTGATCAGTCGACATTCGGCCGCTTCGATCGCAATCGGAGACGGAGTTGTGGGCAGGGGAAAACGAGACAGGGGTGTACTGCCCAAATAAGACTGTGTAGTGCACACGTGAAGGCCGGGGGGGGGCGGAAAGTAAATAAGACAGTCAGAGAGAGAGAGAGCGACATTTGATAACCACCACGAACGATGCTTAGTAAAATTATAACATTCAAAGTTTATAGGGATAAGTGCGTCTTCATCGTGAAACCCCATTTTATCACCCTGTTGACGCCGAGAAATTGCTTGGGAGGGGCGGGGGAGTTGAAATTCATCCGAATTCACAACCGCTTTCGGGTAAGATCACGTTTGCTAGCCATTCCGGTCAGTCTCTGGTATGTCCATGTCAAGCAGAATGATTACTCGGTTGCATGGTGCGTTGTCATACTGTACCGATCGAAGCGACAACTGCCCGGGACGGGAGAAGCCATACCACAGTTCTCTTCAGTTAGTCAGGGGACCATCAGTGCTCGAGCACCGCTGTCTACACCGCGTAGCACTTGTCCCGTAAGGTAATCGGAAAAGCTGAAATGCTAAAATTAAGCGAAGAATTTTAGGTAGTTGTGTTCGCCTAATTTGGCTAGTGGTAGACCTTCGTAGATTACGACAGCTGAGGGAGTGTGTTACGCATGTCATTTAGTGGATTGTCATGGTGAGTGATATTTCACGAGGCAATTGGCGGAAACTGATCCAAATATTCCATTATATATCCTACTTCTTCAACCAATTGGGTAGCCAAAAGACAGCAACCAAAATCCAAAAGGCATGATGAACGGTTGGATAAAGTGAAACTGTAGTAATAGTTCGAGGAACGTGTTCAAAGTTGGTGTTCGAGGAGAGTTATTTGGGGGTGGGGTGGGGCAGAAGGAAACAGAATTCAGGGTGGCTAAATTTAAGTATGAACGGAAAAAATCGTGCTGGATTTGCTACACCTTTGATCGCACACGGAAACCGTGTTCAAGTCTCAATGCCCACAGTGAGTGAGGTTTCGCCCAAGAGAGGAACAGATTATCCTTTATATAAATTAATTTTATCACAGTGTATGGCACCTCGGTGTGGAGACCATCTGACAATAGGTGCGGTGTATCTTATGTTAATTACCTGCTGTTATTGAAGAAAAACAGATTTCGCACCAGTCCTCCGCCAGCTAGTGCTCCAGCCCTAGCTTAAGAAGTACTGATTCCCAACCGAACACCATCAGTTTTAGAGTAACCCTGGTAACTAACGACTTCATATTCGACGAGGACGCTATGAATAAACAAAGCAAAATATCTGGTAGAGAGGAAAAGCTCAATCGGGAATTCATTCAGTCCAACAAATGTCATTTCTAGTACTGAACACCCGAAAAAGGGATGAAAACTTCTCATACACTTGGGCTTACCTTGAGCATAAGCACTACCTCATCGATCGGTCGAGTGAGAATATCCGGGGTGGCAAACGGTTGCATGCTAGAAAAAACTTGTGAACTGTACAGACGATAGCAATGACCGGGAGCTACTCGACCCGCACGACCGGCACGTTGTTCTGCCGAGGCTTGACTGATCCACACAATCTCAAAACTGGATGCCCCGGTGGCCGGATCGTATATTTTGGTTTTGACCTATTTGGTGCACGAGTCAAACCGAGTAGAAATAAGGGAGACGGGAGAGGAGTTAGACGCACAAATCAAAATTCATGAGGCAAAAGGACACGAAAATATGCGAGGATACTGTACAGTCAGTCATACGAGTGTGTCGATTTGGGGAATCCGACGGGCAAACAATGACCTCCATCTCCACAGTATTGCGGAGCAACAGAACGATCAGAATCTCANTCACTGATATCAGTAGTAATCGACTATTGACCCATGGTTCAAAATGTATCTACAGCGGAACGGAATATCAGCGCTTGAGTAGAATTAAATAATCGAAGAAAAAGCGTGATCCGTTAACGCATACATGTGTCCGAACTGGTGAGCACAGATTCACCCGATGTCCACACCTGTCACTCTCACTGTATACTCATGCGAAACATGAACTGTTTTCGCATTGTGCTGTACACTATTCAGCTTGTGTTTGCATATGCATATGTCAAATAGGTCAAACAAAATTGAGATTACAGTTCTGTGAACAAAAACACACTCGGAGTTTATTCACTTATCCACATGTGCCATGCACGTACCACAATACAGCACGGAACTAGATATTCGATATGTGGGATAGGCATTCAGCATTGAGTGCTGAATGCTGAATGATGTACAGGTATGGACCAAACTCATGCAACACTCTGACACTGTCATCACATTTGTTTCTCCCAACACGTAGTGTTTTACCAGCCTCATTCACGGGANACGGGATTCATTGTGATATTGCTATTGTGGTCTACAACTGACTGATTTGTGTTCATACATGCCTGTGGCCAAATTGATCGATCGACTGACTGTTTGAATGCTGGCCTGACAGCATTCGTATGTAGTGCAACGTGTGAGCCGGTGTCGGCTTGCCTGCTTTCCTACACGCTACTCGTTCCCCCGGCAACATATTTGCTGTTTACAAAAACATACTACTTAATTCGTTGTGTGCTTTTTTACCTACTAAATCTGGGACACAACAATTGCCTCACATCAGACGCAACATAATCGTAATAATATCTATCTATGTCTTTGCTTCTGTGACTTGAATGCCAATAAAATGTGATTTCTCAATTTTGACGAGATAGTTGCTGGTGCACCAGCTCTAGTTGGTAGCCAAATAATTTATAAACTTACTTAGGCTAAAATATTTTCAGTGATTTGCTGATTTACTATGCACTGGATGAAAAGAGATAAGCAATTCCGAATAAGTGTGTTCGGCTTAATAATCACTTTAAAGAAACAGGAGTCATTCATTAGAAAGAATGAATTTCCATGATGCTTCGCATAAAATATTTTCTAAATATGAGCTGTAACTTTCGAAGTACCAAACATTCTATCGCGACGCTCAAGGTTGAGTAAATTCAAACGGTGATAGAAGAGAACTAAGAACATCGCAATAGAAGATGAAGTTCGGAATAAATTATCTTTTCACCCATAGCCATCAATATACAACTATGATATTAGAAACCGAAATGTATTTCCACAGTGAGAGTGATCTTGCACGAGTTTGGTCAACACTTGTATATGGCTGCGATGTGTATCGATTCGCAGTCATATTCAGTGTGGCTTTTGAGCCGTTGTGCTCGGCAAGAAAACAGTGTGAACCTATAATGTGCCTCAATCGTGAGAAGCAGCATCTCATGATAAAACCAGGTGGAGAACCACAATCTGGTTGTTAGACAGCGCATTGCCAACAAACAAAAAAGATTATTTAGAAATGATGATGATTGAATAAAAAATTTAGCGTCTTCGGAGATCGTACGCTGCGCGCAGTAGAACTGAACGCGTGCGGTTCCATGTTGTGGATAGGATGAAAGCCGTAAAGGCGGTTAGCTAAGTGCACATAGCCTTACTCAATGAGCGATGATGTATGAGAACGCGGGGGAAATTCGCCCGGCAAGCGATCTCTGTCCGTTGAAAGCATCGTGTTGTTGTGCGCGAAATCGGGTCCACCAGAAGGAAATAGGGTTGTCTAGTACGACACATGTCGTCTGCAACAGTCAGTATACGGTTTCACAAAAGACTGTGGATCAGTGGTCTATTAGCATCTGCTGTTGTTACAATATTATAAACATAAATGCTATCGTGAGAATCAATGAATGTTCATAATATATAATAATGTGAGTAGTACTTCGCCCCATAACCGCCGCTCAATAGGCAGCGCTTGTCTCAGCAAGATTCATCCCATGGTTTGCTTCATGTGCCTCCTCCACTGAACGACCGGTACTTCTGGCAGCGGAGTT